AACAGGAGCAGCCGCAGGGGTCTAAGGATGTGTTCCTTCCTAAGATGGATGAGGAAGAAGCCAGTGACTGCCATGGTGCACAGGAGCTTGCTCAGGCTTGGTACTGAGACAGTACTGGATCAGGGTTTGCTTTGTGTTTCTGAACCGTATTCTTCTGCCCACAGCAGCAGCATGAGGACCTGTCAGCTAAGAAGCTGCGGCTGACCAAGCCCAGCAAGTCAGCTGCGCTCCATGTCGACCTGTGCAAAGCTACCTCGCCCGCAGATGCCTTGCAGTATCTGCTCCAGTTTGCCAGGAAGCCTGTGGAAGTGGAGAGCGTGGAAGGGGTTGTCAGGATCCTACTGGAGCATTATTACAAGGTAGTGTGCCTGGGGGCCAAGTGTGCTTCCAGAATCCTCCTTCTGGTCTTGTTTTCTTCGTGTTGGATGTGCAATAGGGAGTCACAGGGTCCTGTGTTGCTGACTCAGTTGCCAACAGGGTGCCCTGTGTGAGGAGAGCGAGTGACTGTAGTCCTTTACCTGAGTGATTTCTGATCGTGTTACTTGGTCCCTTTGCCGATAGTTTCAGGAGCCTGTGACAAGGGTGCAACTATGTTATCCCTGCAAACGGCTTGTGTGATTAGTCTTAAATTAACTTAACAAGGGATAAAAGATATGACAAAAAGTTTTCCAGGGAACCTGGCTGTCCGAAACTGGCTCAACTTTATCTGAATCCTTCCAGACTGATGTTTCCTTACCTTGATCTTGTTCTTCTCTAGCAGTGGAGAAGCTTTTTAGCTATTGCTTATGGTGTGAACAAAGCACCTTTAAAATGGTGCTTCTGAAAAACTTTCAACAAAAAAATCTTAACAGCAGAATAGCAAATAAATAACAGAAGTAATATATGCTTCGTAGTATCCAGATACTGATCCTTCAGTTGATAAAGCAAAACTTTATTGCGTCTGAAAAAGCTGCACTGTAGGCTCAAATGTTTCTCATAAATGTCCTTGTGCTATTCTGTCTTTCTTTTTACAATTCAGTCTATTTTCCTTTGAACTTACACTAAAACTCTGAGCTGTATTTTATCTGTTTCTGTACTTTACCTGCTTTGACTTGTGTGTTGAGACTGTTTTATGTTTTTTTGATGGGAGCTTATTTTCATTGGACTAGTCTGCACTTAAAAGAGTGTACAACTTAAAGAATCTACTCTATCAGTTCTTCAGTGAAGAAAACTCTCGTTCCTGATCAAATAACACAGGTTGTTTGTGTTTGAAGTTTGTGTTGTAGACTATATTAGGAGAGAGACTCTTAAATCTACAGACAAGGTCACATTTTCAAATGCACAACCTGTTACAGAAACCAGCTTTTAAAAAGCATTGCAGTCCTACAGTTGACATTATTTTACTTAAGGACAAAATTTTCTGAAGAGCTGGTTTCTTAGTATCTCCAGAAAACTTGCACTTGAACTGATCTTTTAGAAACCTAACCCTGAAAGCTGTAACTGTGGTAGAAGTTGTGTGATGATGTATTTGTTTGTAGTGTTACTGTTTTGTTTAAGGTGGTGCAGCAGCCTCCTGCTCCTTCATCTCTTTATATTATGATAGGACAGTCCCCAAACAGTCCTGTTGGCCTCAGAAGTGGATCAGAAAAATAATCTGGCTTTTTCTTTTTTCTCCATTTTCCCACCCGTAGTTCCTATGACCCTGCTGACAATTGAGTCAACACAGCTGAGCAGGGGGCATGTTGCAGTGTGTCGGGGAAAGCTAGGGGGTAAGCTGGTGTCGCTGTCAGCAACAGTATGTCTTCAAACAGTGGCCCGAGGCAATCCTGAAAGTCCCTTCTTGATTCCAGAGAGAGAGTGGTCAGGATGAGGGGTTAGAGGCACTTTCACTTACTAGTGTTTTGGTCATGAAGACAGTGATCAGACCTGCAAACTAAAATGATGACTTTTTCTAATTTCCTGCTCATGAATCATTAGAAGGAGGGAGAAAATGCCCTCTAGGGTGGAAGGTTGCTTAAAATTCAGTAATAACATTGCAGACATTATTCATAAGGCTATTAAAAGTGCCTTTATACGTGTCCTTTTCAAAATCATTGATTTCTTCTGTATTCACGGAGAGGGTTGTCCTTTTATTAAAAGCGCGTGAGTAATGGAGAGTAAACACCAGGTGTGTAAACACCACAATACTGTGGAAATCCATGCATCCTACCAGTGATGTAAGTAGTTCAATGACAGTAACCATTGTTTAAGCACGTAATTTTGACCCTGAAAGGAGAAAATGCTTCTCGGCTCAGCTGAAAAAGAGATTACTCCCATAGGTGTCACATTTGTCACTTGGAGGGTGTGTGTGACATTGAAGTCTCTCCTAAACATTGTGGAAAGATGTAATATTTGTAATTGTAATATTGCTGCACCTCTGTGTTCAGCATTGCACAATTGCTTGGTAAGATCTAAGTATGAAATCCAGACTTCTTTTTGTCCTTCTACCCTATATTGGATATCCTTGGCAATATGAAGAAAGAGAGAGCTTCCAGTTATGACCAGAGTCTGCAGAAGACTCAAAATAACTCTTTTTACATGAATTTAAAATGACTACTAATTTGTGATGCTTACTTATGTAATTATCACCTGTGACAGATTTTGCTGTTGCTTAAATGAGTAGATGTATGCAGCTAACATATGCTGCCTTCTTTTTTTTTTTTTTTTTTTTTACCTTGCTGTGTTGTGTTTCTTTCTTGCTTTACTGTCAGATTGGCAGGATTCCTCCCCACCGTCAGGAGAAACAGTTGTTTTCTGTAACCCACAGACCCTGCTGCTTAGCAGAGGTCAAGAGACCACTGTTCATCACCATGGTCTCAGTTAATCTCTTAAAATCCACCTATTTGTTCATTAAAAACTTCCAAAGACATTAACATTATCAACACTGAATTTTTCAGCGTCTTGAAAACCTGATTGATTTAAACTTTAAATTTTCAAACAGTATGAAGGTAATTTTGAGGAATTATGAGTCAGAGAATCATTTTGAAATGTACTGGAAGCTGCCCCGTAAACATTCTGGTATGATTAATTTTCTATGGGGTGTGCTGTGGATGTATGGAGGAGGAAGTAGCCTGACAGCAAAATTCAGACCCTTGTGCTGAGTTATATAGGGGTCCTGCCTGTGTGTAGTGTTTTATACTCTTCAGACTGGAAAAAGGAATGTGGGTGTCTGTCGTTTCCTTCCAGGAGAACGATGCCTCTGTAAGATTGAAGATTGCTTCCTTGCTGGGCTTGTTATCGAAGACTGCAGGATTTTCCCCAGACTGCATTATGGATGATGCCATTAACACGCTTCAAAATGAGAGTAAGTCTCACTTTTCAGGTGGTGCTTGCGATCGAGGCAGAATCATGCTGCCTTTTAAGCGTTTAGGACAGTGGCAAGGCCCTTACATCTGAAGTGTATACTAGGGAATTGTTGCTCAGAGTATTTATTTTCTGCTTTTGTGAATGATGACAGACAATACCATGTTCTGAGGAGGATAAAAATGTTCCTCAGACCTGCCTGATGTATACCTTTGTTTTAAGGGAGTGCAAAGTTTGCTTTTGCATCTCTGTAAGATAGCTGTTGCTTCTGAAGTGCTCTGTTTTAGAGGACGGTCTTACTTCAAGTGGAATCTTGTTTGAGGAGGAGCGCTTTTTTTTTACCATGCTGCAGGCCAGCTAATCAGAGCTAACGCAAGAAGGCATTGGATTTGTAATAAGCTGTGAAATGTAGATTATCCTGTTTATGGCTTCATTAAAGTCCATTTTTATTTTCTGTTATATTCACAGTTTGTATATGCTTTACTTGATGCAGTTTAATTTTATTTAGTGTCATTTATAGAATCATAGAATGGTTTGGGTTGGAACGGACTTTTAAAGGTCATCTAGTCCAACCGCCCCTGCAATGAGCAGGGACATCTTCCACCAGGACAGGCTGCTCACAGCCCCGTCCAACCTGGCTTTGAACACTCCCAGGGATGGGGCATCCACAGCTTCTCTGGGCAACCTGTGCCACTGCCTCACCACCCTCACTGTAAAAAAAATTCTTCCTTATCTAAACCTACCCTCTTTCAATTTAAAACCAGTGTCCCTTACCCTGTCACTACAGGCCCTGGTAAAAAGTCTCTCTACATCTTTCTTGTAAGCCTCCTTTAGGTACTGGAAAACTGCTCTAAGGTCTCCCTGGAGCCTTCTCTTCTCCAGGCTGAACAATCCCAACTCTCTCAGCCTGTCCTCATAGCAGAGGTCATTGTTCCATCTGCATGACCTCCTCTGGACTTGCTCTGACAGGTTCATGTCCATCTTGTGCTGAGGACCCCAGAGCTGAAGGCAGTACTGCAGGGGGGTCTCACCAGAGCGGAGCAGAGGGGCAGAATCCCCTCCCTCGACCTGCTGGCCATGCTGCTTGGGATGCAGCCCAGGACAGGGTTGGCTTTGTGGGCTGTCAGCGCACATTGCCAGGTCATGTCCAATGTTTCATCCACCAATACCCCAAGTCCTCCTGCGCAGGGCTGCTCTCAATCCCTTCATCCCCCAGTTTGTATTGATACTGCAAAGTGCCCTAACCCATGTGCAGGACCTTGCACTTGGCCTTGTTGAACTTCATGACGTTTGTGTGGGCCCACTCCTGAAGGCTGTCAAGGTCCCTTTGGATGGCATCCTGTCCCTCAGACAGGTCAGCCACAACACTCAGCTTGATGTCATCCACAGAATTGCTGAGGGTGCACACAATCCCACTGCCCATGTCATTGGTGAAGATATTAAATAGTATTGGTCCCAGTACAGATCCTTGAGGGACACCCCTTGCTACTGGTTTCCACTTGGACACTGAGCCCTTGACTAATTCATTGAACAGCGCCATCCAGCTAATTCCTTACCCGTTTAACAGTCCGTCCGTCAAATCCGTACCTCTGCAATTTAGCGGTAAGAATGTTGTGGAGGTCCAGGTGAACAGTAGGCTAAATGTGAGTGAGCAGTGAAGGCTCTCTGTGTACCAGGCTGTATCCACAGGATTGTAGCCAGCAGGTCAAGGGAGGGGATTATTCCTTTTTACTCAGCACTAGTTAGACCACATCTGGAATACCATGTCCAGTTTTGGACTCCCCAGTGCCAGATAAGTGCTGGTAAGGTTGAGTGAGTTCAGCAGAGAGCCACTGAGATGGTCAGGAGCTGGAGTACGTGATGTGCAAGGAGAAGCTGAGGGAGCTGGGCTTGTTCTGGACTTGAAAGGAGGTGATTTCAGGAGGACCTTCCCACCTAGATTAGTCTGTGATTCTGTAGCTGGTGAGGAGCTCAGTAAAGAGGTATGTAGCCTTTCACTGTTTTGTTTTGCAGAGTCTCACCAAGTCCTTGCTCAGCTGCTGGACACCCTGTTGGTGATCGGCACAAAACTCACAGAGAATCCGTCTGTCAGGATGAGACTGGTAGAGGTAGCCTGCAAGGTAAGGCGACCTCCCTGCGGCAGGAAACTGTTATCACTGCCACAAGAAAAAAATAGGTAGTCAGTGTTTAAATTATTTTCATTTTTCTCAACAAACTGTTACAATACTAACACTTTTTTTAACTGCTAGGAATCTTAAAATGATTAGTGGTTTCGAAGGGGTGAAAGAACAGTAAGAATCCGGTTACATCTGTCCCTTCTCTTCCCTTCCACAGCATTTGACAGATTCTTCCCACGGTGTGAGAAACAAGTGTCTTCAGTTAATTGGCTGTCTTGGACCAGTGGAAAAAGGTGTTGCAAAAGAAGTTGAAAGCCAGGCTGCCAAAGATGTCCAGAAGATAATAGGAGATCATTTTAATGACCAGGATCCTCGTGTTAGGACTGCAGCTATAAAAGCCATGGTAAGTGTTGCTGGTACAGTGGAATAAACTGTTTGAGGTTATATAAGGAAGCTGGTAGGTGGCTGCAAACTAATCCAAAGAGGTTTGGATTAGAGATTATTTAATTTAGTAAATGTCCATTTAGCATATCAAAATTACCTGGAAGAATAAGCTAGGTCTTGAAATATGAGAGTAATGTGAGATCTCAAAGATCGTTTTAGTGACTCCTAATAATTTCTGTTTCAGCTATAGCTGAAGAAGCTTTTCAGTTTGACTTTTTTGAGTGTATGTAGGCTCTTTGTTTCAGTGTCAAATCTGTATTTCTTGAGTTAACGTTGGTTACCAGAATTACAATAAGCCACTAGTGCTCCAACATGCAAGATAGCTGCTTATGACAGGAAACCTGTGTGATAAGTCCAGAAAGAATTGTGTTTATTTGTTTTTAAACAACACTTATGTTTTACTTCATGGTCATGCTCATTAGCATTCTCTAACTGTTTATGAGGTTTGTCTGGTTTTCACGTGGGCTGGGGCGTGGGGACTCTTCAGAAGTTTTTAGCTTTGCAAAAACGCAAGCAAAGACTGTTCACTTGAGAATTTTGCTTAATGCGAGTTACCTGTGAGGATATGGGTATACAGAAGTTTCTCTATTACCCTTATGGTTTATAACAATATCCTATCTGACATGATGGTCAACAAGGGTATTTGAATTAAGGATATTGAATTAACACTGTTAAACTCCAAAGAAAGAAGGATGCATTTGAAGAGATCAGATTGCACTTGAATCTATCTGGGATCTCCCTCTGCTGGAGGTTGCATGGAGACATCCTGCATGAATTCAGGGTCACTAACCACTTTTAGTGCTCTTGATAGTAGTTTTCCTTGCTACTGTGTTTGTGTGTTTTGTTTTTTTTTTCTTTAATTTTATCACTGGCTTGTTGTACTTTGAAGAAGGGGATATAGAAAAGCAACCGTTTCTTGTTGACTGTATTCAACCAGGTATTATTCCTTTGTTTATAAGTCAGATTCATGATACCATCTTATTCTGGATAGAAACAAGTGTTCAGTAGGACAGTTTTTGGTGTTCCTCTGGTTTAGTAATTAGAAGAATTGATTGACAATGCTGCTTTTGGGTCCCTGTTTCAGGAGTGGTAGTAAACTACTTATTTTGAAGATTCCTATATCTGTTTTAATTGTGGTTGAATATGGTTAATGCAAAATAATTGTTTGAAGGTTGGGGGAATGGACAGATAGTGTATTTATATAAAATGTATTTTCCTAATCCATCTGAGTATGAATGGCTGTGAAGTTTCAAAAAAACCATACTGAAGTCAAGATTATTATTTAAAATATTTATGGCCAAGATAATGAATATTTTAATTACAAACAACTAAGTTTACTCAAAGCAGAAAAAACAGTGGTGAAAACTTAATCAGTGTCACTTAACCTGTAGTTACACTTTCCTGTGTTTGTTTTTTTCTGTAGCTGCAGCTTCATGAAAGAGGATTAAAATTACAGCAGGCTATTTACAGTCAGGTAAATCCTTGTGTTTGTTTATTTTGTACTTGTTTGCATGTCTTGCTTTTTAGATTCCGTGACAGTGTGCTTTGAGAGGAGGAGGGTACAGAGCAGAGGTGGAATATTTTGCACTTAGGTTGCTTATATTCCTTATTGTCCTATAGCAGTGGAAATAAAAATCTATTTTGCATCCATTGTGCTTAAATGCACTGAAACATATGCTTTGATATATATTGTTTATTGGGGGAGATAACCATGGGAAGGGCAAGACATTACATAATTATTACTATCATCTGGCAGTCTCCAAGTCTTAAACCCTTGTTCATTGGAGAGTACACACGAAACCTGTATTTGTTACGTCAGTAAGGCTGCGCAGCTGAAGTCTGTATCAAGTTAGTTCTATTACAGATTCCCATTTTGTGCTTCCTGCGTAGTTCAGGCAATTCTGGAGTTTTACAGCATGTGCCCGATTGACTTTATTAGGACTAGCCTACCTGTTCAAACTTGGAAATATTAGGGAGTAGAAGGGAAGACTGAATTCATCCTGATTTTTTTAATCTGTCCTAGCTGATTCATGGTAAGGATACTAATTGCACTGTGGGAAGTGAATGACAGCTTGGGTGGAAATTTTTCAGGTATATTAGGCTGTGAATCTTCTTTCAGGCCTGCAAGCTGTTGGCAGATGATTATGAGCAAGTGCGCAGTGCTGCAGTTCAGCTAATTTGGGTCCTCAGTCAACTTTACCCTGAAAGGTAGGTACTATGCAAAGTGACTCAAAGTGTTGGCAGAGTAATCATCCTAATCCTGAGAGGTTTGTGTTGGTAAGTCTGAGGAGTAGCTGTTAGAAAATTGATGTGTACAAGTTGCTGATACCTGGTAAGAATGCACTGATCTGGGTGAAGTTTTGGTTCCTGGTGTTTGGACATCCACAGGCATTCAGCATAGTTCTTTCTTACTTGATGCCATCCAGCATGGCATAAGATCAGTAAACTGATTTGTGTTTCTCTGTTAGCATTGTCCCAATTCCTTCTTCTAATGAAGAAATTCGCTTGGTTGATGATGCATTTGGAAAAATTTGTCATATGGTTAGCGATGGTTCCTGGGTTGTTAGAGTACAAGCTGCTAAGTTATTGGTAAGTTGCATTCTTTTCTTCTCTAGCTGAGAATAGTTCATCTCATGTTACTTTACTTTTTCCACGTGTATTTGAAAAGAAATGGGAGGGTGTTTAAAAACTGTATAGGTAGATTTCTACCAAAATTATGAGAAGAAAGAAATGAGAGAGATTGGGGAAACCCGAAAGTTTCTCAGCTGAACTATGCAGTGAGTCTTTCCTTGAGAGCAGAGGGTTGGATATTGAAGGAAAAAGCAAGTACTTGTCATAATTCCCTCTACTTCTCCAGCACAGGACATGTAAACCAGCTGAACTCAAGAAAGACCATATTAACCTCAGGGGGAAAATAAGATGTTCTGACCATCATAAGTAAACTTCTTTAGACTCTGGCATACGGTGGTGTCAGGCATTGTATAAAGCTATTAGAATGTGTGGATAAGATTGGACGCCATGTTGGGATAAGTCAGAAAATTATATGGTGTAATTTAAAATAATCCTGTTTCTTCCTTTTGATTTTTTTTTTGTCATTTTTTTTCTTTAGGGTTCTATGCAACAAGTTAGCTCCCATTTCTTAGAGCAGACCCTTGACAAGAAACTCATGTCAGATCTGAGGGTATGTAAATGGTTGGGTTTCTTTTTACTGGGTGTAATGTACTAAAATCGCACAACAGGTATGTTAATGTTGCGTGTGTTTGTTTACTATGTCCTTGCCTCAAGGCTGCTGAGAGTTAATTCGTGATGACAGGTTTTCTTATAGATTAAAGTCAATGATGCAATTGCTAGTTTTAGATTTCATTAGCCGAGCATGTCATAAACAGCTCTAGGTTATTCAGGGTTCACAGATGAGGGGTAAACCTTTGTGTTCTTCTGACAGTCTTTTGGGCTAAAAGCTTTTATTTATTGTGTATGGAAAGATTGCATCCTAGTTTTAGGAGCAAGCTTATGGAAACGTTCTGCAAGATCCAACCAGTAGACCTAGACATTTCAAGAGACGTGAGTAGCTAAAGGGTGGGACTCCTGAGGCCTGTGAGCAAAACTTTTCAGTAAAATTCCTTTCTTAAGCAACTCACTGGAGGTGTCAGGTTCAGCTTTTCTGTCTACAAAAGAATGGTGAAGCTAGAGCTGCTAGTTTTTGTGGGTTGCTTTGTAAAGGCTGTTAAAGAAAGTGCTGCGTGGTTTTCTTTGCAGTGTGGGGGGAGAGGAGATGGACTAGCAAGCATGCTGAATGAATATTGCATTTTACACATAGCTGAACTCTGTATAGTATTGATAGTCATTTAAGTGTTTAATTGCAGTTTAGCAAGTTGAACTGCAAAGTGATAGCATCTATTTTTGCAGATCAGTTGTTGGATACTTAACTAGGCAGACCTTTGCTCTGACCTGGTTTGGCTGTTCTTACAATGGATATCTAATAATATGCTAATTAAAATATATTAGTTATTATCCTTTCCCAACATCAAAAGCACAATGTTACTGGCAATTAGAAGTATTCATAGAAGAGAAGGTACTGTTTGCTCTTCTTAGCATTTGCATGTGTCTGTCAATGTCTAAGCCTCTAGCTACATCTATTTTCAAATCCCGTAATGCCATTTAATATTTTCTTCAGTCACCTTTAAAGTTTACCATGGTTGTAACTGAAAAACTTGTTTGGACAGAGGAAGCGCACTGCGCATGAACGAGCCAAAGAACTCTACAGCTCTGGGGAGTTTTCAAGTGGCAGAAAGTGGGGAGATGATGCTCCCAAAGAAGAAATCGATACGGGTGCTGTAAACTTGATTGAATCAGGAGCATGTGGGGCTTTTGTTCATGGCCTGGAAGATGAGATGTATGGTAAGTGTTAGCTTATTATGGAATGACTAAGGGAGGAGATGCGTGCTGGCTACTAAGCTTTTTTTTGGGGGGGTGGTGGCTGTTTTTTTTTTTTAGTCAAAGTAGATCACTTGGCTATTGTGTTTGGGGTTTTTTAACAAATCGTGGACTTCAGGATGGTGGGTTTTTATTCCATTGTGACCTCTGGTATGGCCGATCTTTCAAAGATGCTACAGTGTTGCACAGAATTTTGGATAGAAATGTTCCTTTGAGTAACCGAAACCAAATAGCTTCCTATATAAACAGTGAACTTTTAGTAAAGTATCTGGTAAGAATTGGTTGCTTAAGTTATGCAGAAACCCACTGGGATTATTTTTTTTAATTGACTTAAATTTAACAGTTGCATGTGGCTCTAAATTGGCAACATTGGTTGCTGCTATTTGAAGTTGGTGTTTTCTCTGCAAGGAGGAAAATCAGAATCATTTAAGTTGGAAAAGACCCTTAAGATCATCGAGTCCAACTGCTGACCTGACACTGCCAAGTCCACCACTGAACCATGTCCCTAAGCACCACATCTACACGTCTTCTAAATACCTTCAGGGATGAGGACTCCACCACTTCCCTGGGCAGCCTGTTCCAATGCTTGACAACACTTTCAGTGAAGAAATTTTGCCTAAGATCCAATCTAAACCTCCCCAGTGCAACTCAGGGCCGTTTCCTTTCATCCTGTCACTTGTTACTTGGGAGAAGAGACCGACCCCCACCT